TCTCTCTCTCTCTCTCTCTCTCTGTAGGTTTTCCTGCCGGGCTGCTGCTTTACGCGCTGTGGGGCCACACTGCGACCGCACGGAGGAGGAAGAGGAGAAAGCCGCGGACCAAAGAGGGGCCAGCCTGAGCCAGAGCGGCGGAGATAAAAAAAAATAGCCAAACCAGAGGAGGAGGGCTGGAACGCGCCTTCACCGCACAGATAAAAAATACCTCAGAAGAAGAAGAAGCAATTGCAGACGGAGACGCGTCATACCGCGCTGTTCCTCGCTCCATCTTTCTTTCTCCGCTTTTCAGGGGAACTGAAACAGATGTAAAAACCAAGAGGAGGACAAATAGAAAAAGAATTCTTGTTGAAAATTCAAAACGACGAACGACGCGGTGTTGGAACCCCCCCCCCCACCCCTCCCCTCCCGGACCAGGGCCGATTCTCCGTTTTCCAGCAGCCACCTCGGCGCGGCAACACCATGAAGGACCGTACGGCGGAACTGCGAAGTGTAAGCTGAAAAATGTCCTCTTTATTTCCATTCCTGTTGGCCTCCATGTTTCCACCACCGCTCCCCCCACCCCTTGGTCTCTTCCTCCTCCCGTAGCCGCAGCAGCTTTCACGGCCTCGCTGCCTCTCTTCTGCTGCATCCGGATGCAAACGGAGGAGAGCAGTGCGGAGAGGAGAGAAAATCCTGCTATAACACATTATTCTGCTCATTCGATGTCTCTGCAGAGGAGGTTTGGTGGCAGGTTGTGTTGCGACTTTGAGCTTGGCATGCTGTGAATACAGAGTGATGTGAAAGTACCTGCAGAGTTGTGTGAGGTTGGATCCTGAAATTAAGGCTTTTCTCAGACGTTAGATTGATTTTTCTTTGAGTATGAGTAGATGTTTGGTTTGTGGTGAGGTCAGCAGTGACTGGAGGTCACGGTTACAGCCTGGGCACCCTTATTTTCTTATATTCCACTTTTAATAACCGATGTTTGAGCGCGTCTCGGTGGGTTTAGACGCAGAGGCCCTGCTCAGGTTTTCCATAGCGTTTTTCCCCTCATGCACCGCTGCATGCATGATGGGAAAACGAGTTAGGCTGTAAAATAAATGAACCCGCTCCCATCCATGCTAATTTTTCCGTGTATGTCCACGCATGCCTGCCTGGATGACCTGATGGAGGAGGAGGAAGAGGAGGAGGAGAACTGATTGACACGAGCCGCGGACGAAAATGCAGTGATTTTTTTTCCGAGGCCGCATCCTGCAGCCAGTGCGCGCCTCCTCCCTGATAGAGAGCCGCGTGAATGTGGGAGCATAAGTCCCAATAAGGCGAGGAGAGGAGCGATACGCGGCTGGATGGATGAATCAGGAGGCAGATGGAGCGGAGCGGAGGATGCAGCTTTATCTACTCTTTTTCCGCGTGTTTCCTGACGACCCCCCCCACGCGCCTCTGCACGGGGGATGGTGGAGGGAGGGGGAGAAGCGAGGGAGTGGGGAGGGGTAAGAGGGCGGGAGGGTAGCAGGGTACCCTTCATTGTACCAAAGCCTCACCCATTTTTATAGCTGTGTGACTCTGCACCAGGTGAGACTGGGGGTTTTAGCGCGTGCGTTATGCGAAGCGGCACAGGGTTTTCTGCCACCTCTTCGAGCGAACAGCTGATGCTGGCGGTTTGGGCGGATTGTGGTGGGATTTTTGGGGGGAGGCGGAGGTGGGATGGGTGCGGGGAGGGTGAGTGAAGATGGAGGGTAAAGGGTAGGGGGAGGCATTTACTTCTGATAGTTAAGGTTAGTGTAAAGGGCGCCTCCCGCCGCCACCACCCGGGTTCAACTGGGTTCGCCTCAGGAATAGACTGAGTGCTTATCTATCTATCTATCTATCTATATACACACATATATATTTCTATATAGATCTATCTATCTATCTATCTATCTATCTGTCTATCTATCTATCTATCCATCTGTCTGTCTGTCTGTCTGTCTGTCTGTCTATCTATCTATCTGTAATATTTATTAATTTGGTCAGAACCAATCAATGGCTGAATGGTGTGTGCATTGGGGGCTGGTGGTAATTTGCATTATAAAAGTGACAACCTCAGCACCGTCTGGACTTTACTGCACTGCTGTCCACCCATCCTCTGTGCTTATGCATCTCTTTTTCTTTTAATTTTCTCTTCCTCTTCTGCTTCTTCACATCCCTTGATCCAGTCATCTTTGCTCATTTATGCTTCCATCGTCATCTTTCCATCTTTTTTCTCTTTTCTATCTCCATCTTTTATTTCCTTAAATTCCCTGCTTCTTTCTTAGCTGACATCCATCTTCACATCAACCAGCCCCCCCCCCTTTCACCGAGCCCCCCCCCTTTCAATTTGGGCAAAAAAATTTAGTGGAAACACTGGAAAATTGAAGGAAAAAAGTTTTTTTTTTAATGTTTTTCTGTTGAAATGTGACTGACATGTAATTTACATAAACAAAATGTGACAAAGTGCACCCAAAACGGAAGAGAATGGAAGAGAGAAATGACAAACAGCAGCAAGGCTTCTGTTCAAATCTCAAATTTGAACTGAATTTCCAGAAAGTGGTGCAAAGATAATATGAATAAATGCTTGTTTCCATACTGCTGTGTGAATATGAATTGATTTGTTAATGGAAATAAAGAGCAGATGCACAGTTAATGTCATTAACAGAGCCCCAGTCAAATTTCAAACAGTAGAAAACATGATGGAAACATGACCTTTCTGTAATTCCTATAATTGTGAGGAAGGTTACAGTCCGCTCTTTGCCACAAACATCTAATGTTTTTGTCTTTTCACTGAAAGTGATGAGTGATGTTTACTGTAAGTCACGTTTTGTATATGTCATCATCCACTATGTAGAAATACTCCATTATCAATAAAACTCCTGAGTTTCAAATCCTACTTAAGTAAAAGAACAGAAGTATAAAGTGCTAAAATTCATCTTGCAGAAATGTTGATGACAGCGTTAGATAGTTTAGTAGTGGCTCCCAACCTAGGGGTCAGGTCCGTTCAGAGTCTCCAGAAAAATCTGGAGGGTTGTGAGATGATTAGAGAGATCGAAGAAGAAAGGACAAGGTTCTGCTACACAAGCTTTTTTCTGACACATCTTTGGGCATCAAATAAGTTGTTTAAATGCTGAGGTGGGAAATGTTTCATTATGAAGGAAGTGGCTTTTGAACCATGACAAGAAGACACAGGTACACTTTCACTTTTACTTTGAAAGAGTTTGCAACCCTAAAAGACTGGAGACCCATGTGTAGTGTTTTATAAACTCTCCATATTTTTATATAACATTTGAATCCCAAAACTATGATGCCAGGCTAATGTAGAGGAGTTTAAAGTACATCATTTCATCTTTAAAATATAGGAGACTATTTTCATCAGATATTATAAAGTGGCCTGCCTCCCGCCCACAGCCGGCTGGGATTGGCTCCAGCCCCCCCGTGACCCCGTTTGGGACTAAGCGGTATAGAAAATGGATGGATGGATGGATGGATGGATTATAAAATGGAAATAAGTCAAGTGCCTCCAGTTTTTGACTTTTTCTTGTCACTGTTTCCACTTGGGGTTTTTAGTCACCAATTTTAAAAATGTGTTTTCCTCCACTTCTGACTGTCCACCTTCATTGTCTTGTCATCACTCTCCCCCTTCATTCCCTCGTCGTCCATTCATCTATCCTTTCATTCTTTTCATCTTCACCATTTTATTTCTCTTTTTAGCTGTCCTCTTTTTTCTCCCCTCTATCATCCTGCTATCGCTCCAGCCTCCTTCCCTTCCTTCACTCCTCCACCCATCCCTGCATCACCTCTTTTCAATTCCTCCATCACTTATTATTTCCATCCTTCTTTTCCTCCTGTCTGCCTGTCCACCACCCCTCTCTCCATCATCCCTCCAGCCCTTTATCCATACATCCTGCATCCGCCTGTTCAGCTAGTATCTACTCCTCCATCCTAACTCCTTCCTTTTTCTCTTTTCTCCCATCACCTTTCTTCACCCTTTGTCTTTGGCCTCCTGCTCTCTTCTTTCATCCCTTTATCATCTGACCATTTTCTTCATCCTCTCTTCATCCATCTACTTCTTCTGGTCTCTGTCTCCTTTCCTCACCCACCCTTTCCTCCCTTATTTCACCTTTCATACCACCCTAATTCCTTCATCCACCCATTGCCTTTTTAAAACAGCTCTTCTCTTTCCTCTCTCATTCTGCTGTCCGCTCACTCTCTGCTGCACATTCTTTCACCCTGCACAGATTTGTTCTCTCTCAATCCTCTGTGTGAAACAGACACCACAGAGGAAAGGTGTAGCCTTATTGTTTCATGGCGAGTAAATCTCCTCATTCCTCTGGTCAGCATCCTTCTCTTTCTCTCTCTCCTTTTTAAATCATTAATGATATTTCCTCTCTTGTCGGCCATGTTGGACGATCAGTGGAGTGAAATCCGGCTCGGGCTCACGTAATCCTACCGGTAACAGATGCTGCTGTATCATGCAGCAGCGGCAGGAGCAGCTCCATAGTAATAATGATATTTTTATGTAATCGTCCCCATCACATTGACGCTGCTGCCCGCTCCTCTTACTCCTCCTCTGCTGCTGCTTCACCACCGAGCACCTCCGAGCCCACACGAGTCAGAACGAGTGCTGATGAGTGTGTGAATGTGACCGTTTGTAAAGAAGGAGTAATGAACCCTACAACGATACTACAAAGTTGTCAGCAATGTTCAGTAATGCTCTCTTAACATGATTACAGCTTTTTTAAAACACAAATCAGGATCATTACACTCAGTCATAACAGAAATATTACAAAGGAATGCGGCGTGGTGAGTTCAGGCTTGATTGTAATTCTGAATTTTACAGTATCTGGAAAATTTTGCACTCAAAACTTAGAAAGCATCTGTTTTCAACAGAATTATATTACCAGAAACTGTTATGTCTCCAAAGTAAATGGACTTTGTGATTTATTTGCAGTAAAATAAGATCAAACTGAAACATTTAGAAAGTTTTATTTTTAAATATAAAAAAACTGCTTCGGTGTGATTATTGCTACCAAGCACTTTTAAACATGCTGTGTCATTGTTACTTGCTGCGGCAAAATGTTTTGTCATGTTACAAAGTAGGTCACTGTCAACCTCTGGTTATTTTGAAGCAGTATAGTTTTTCTTAAGCTTGTACTTTGATGTACTTGTGCTGCGCTCCTGCACTGTTTATGTATCACTTGTGAAAGTTGTGATTTAGATGGAAAGCCAGCAGGTGCAACATTCACCACAGAAGAGTGGTTTTCAGGGTGTCCTGGGGTTTAAGACATTGATTGTGAGATTACAATATAAGCCGTCCCTGGTAGGCTAGTGGTTAAGGTGCAGCGCTCTCACCGCGGCGCCCCGCGTTTGAATCAGGGTTGCATCAGGAAGGGCATCCGGTGTGAAACACGTGCCAAATGTCAACATGCAAGTTGTCAGTGTGACGATTTGCTGTGGCGACCCCTAAACGGGAAAAGCCGAAAGTGCCTTTCTATTGTGAG